GGGGCGGTGAGAAGCGGTGGCAGGGCGGCGGCGGGCCGGAGGCGTCGCCTCGGAACCCGCTCTGGCCGCTTAGTCAAACGTGCTTACGTTTGCCATATCGGTACCTTCCACTCACCGATCCCTGAATTTTCAGTATCACCTGATCTATGTTCCAAATTAATTGTTGTAAATAATAATAATAATAATAATAATAATAATAATGATAATAATAATTATCATCATCATCATCATCATCATAAACATAGGAATCACCGACATTCCGCGACTCCAAACAAATTAACGACCTCAGATCCTACTTTCACACGAAGCTTACCGTCAATAGAATGATTGCTGTCATTTGCAAAACCGATATCAAGGCAACTCCACTACACCTATCAGATACTGCCACTTTCATTCGAAAAAGTACACCAATAGAACAGAAAAAGAACTGGAAGCAAAAAGAATTGCATGGCACATTGCCGAATCAGACAAAGATAATATATAGATAAGGAAGAAACAAGCCTCTGGCTCAAGAATGGAAACCTCTTCGGCAAAATAACAGGATTTATGATGGCAATTTAAGATAGAGTAATAGCTACTAAAATGATCGGAAATACATAATCGAATAAGCAATCTCAGATGATAAATACCGAAAATATCATGAAACAGCTGGAACAATAGAATACATAACAGGATCCTCCTGTACACTTGCAAACACAGAATGTACCAAAAGACACAATAGTGTAGCAAATATAATCATCAAAATTTAGCAGGATGCACATCTTCAGCATCACATTATAAGTACGAACTGTCATACACTAGATGACAACAGCGATTTCAAACTGTGTTGGGATAGTGATATAAAGACTGACGTCACTTTGCAGTCAATAGTCCTGACATCACTTTGCTAGACAAAAGAAAGAATTCTATCTGATTGACATTGCCATTCCACATTCCCACAATATTGACAATACATATAGCCATAAGATCAGCAAATAGAGGTATCTGGTAGATCAAATAAAGATAATGGGGCATGTCAAGACAGTTTATGTTAAACCCATCATTTCGGTCACAGGACTAATTGCAAAAAGCGCAAAGAAACACTTAGAAACAATTAGAAAGCTACTTATCAGAAATAAGTCTGTGATACTGGGCATTTGACATATTGTGAGAAAGTCCTAGAGAGACAAGCTTGACTGAAGTCAACTTTATTTCCGTTTAAGCAAGCGTGCACGGTCAGTGAGTGCCGTGTGGATGTATATATGGGAATGATGATGGTATCGATAGTAGATGGTTTATGTGAATGTGCTATTTCTATAATTTATTTACATTTAGTTTCAGTTGTTTTCTTATACATAAATTTGATTTCATTTATGTTCTGAAGAAACAAAACAATGTGTCAACAGTTTGTAATACGTCTTGAATCTCAATTACGATGTATTATGTAATATCCAACATTGTTCAGAAAGTTAATAAATAATGATAATAATAATATAATGTACAAGTACTTAAGTATATGAATGATATGACTACGCTATGTTCACTGCAATATCAACATTAATAAAACCAGGCAGTTAACAGAGTTGCAAGAAATTTAGTAACGGCCCAAATGCATTGAAAACGCATGTGTTTTTGACTGCCACGAAGGCATGGAAAATTACCAAGAATAAATATCTCGCACGCTGAGACGTTTAAAAAACTATAACCTGTATTTTAAAGAACACAAAACATTAATAAATGTCTTGCGTTATCAGCACCAGTTAACCGATAAATAAAGCCACAAAGAGAAACTGAGTAGACAAAAAAGTCCAACATAATACTTCCGACATTCCAGCTTTAACCGTAATAGCAAGAACATAATACTCTATATAGCGCGTAATCCGAAATCTTGAAATTACCAGCCTGTAATGTAAAGAGCGCCCGATTGGACTCGAGAAGAGGGTAAGTGCCGTACTGATACTACTGTATTCTTATGGCAGACGATTTGTACAATCGTTCTTTCTCCGACTCACCATTCCATAATCGTGCTTTCTTCCTGCTTTACCTAAAACTGTCTTCCCGACGTCGTTTTGTCAACTACCCACCTCACCGCCGCCTAGCCGTCATCTTGCCGCCGCCTTCCCTTCCGCCTCCACCGCCCCCGACCACCTCCCCGAACCGTCGCCGTCGCCGTCGCCGTCGCCGTCGCCCTCGCGTCGGCCGACGCGTCCACTCGTGTTTAATTAGTTTCGCCGCGGCGTCGGACGCGAGCAGCCGGAGATAAAGTGTCTATTATTGGCTTTAGGGCCGAGTTTCCGTTTAATTAATGCAGCTTGCGCGACAGCTCGGCTCCGCTGCAATGTCGAAGGCGCGACGCGACGCGATGTAATGCAATGTAATGTAATGTAATGTGATGCGATGGGACACGGCGCCGGGCCGAAGCAATTTATTGAAGACGTGATCCATGGTTCGCCTTTAGAGGCGTCTCTTTCGTTAATTGGGATGAAGGAGTGTTACTGAGATTCATGACGGTTACTGTATTCAAATCAAGTTAGAAATGATGTTGATATTATTTGTAATACTATTTACGGTATTTTACGAATGTGACCACAAAATTCTACCATGTTACCGCATTGAGCACTCTGTTCAAGATAATTTTTAGCATTAATTGCAATTAGAAATTGTACATTTGTTGTCATTTGTGATTTTTCTCGTATAATAATCACGACCAGTTGAATATGTAATGGGTTATTCGTTGCATGTTCATTGCAGACCCTAGATATCCAATTCACAACGTCAGGATTATTCAATTACGCAGCTGCCAATGCCCTAATCAAAGGAAGCACGCCATTGGGTTCAGTCTGGAAAATCTCAATATCAGGGGAAAATTATAGCTGACAGACTGATAGTGAACTTTTCGATTCTATGGTAGCATCGACTGTGTTATACGCCTCAAGTATGTGAGGTCTAAGATTCATTAATCAACTGGATAAGATACAAACGAATTTCTACAAACGTCTGTTGGGCCTACCGAGAACAACTCTTGGATACATGGTTAGAAAAGAAACTGGCTCAACTAAGGTTGAATCAGAAGTAAATAAAAGATCGCTGACTTACTTGACAAAATTGCTAACCTTGGCGCCTTGTCGATACCCACGTATAATTTTCAACAAACTTTTGTAATCAAGAAATGCGAATCTAAATTCTAGAAAATACAACTGTGTGTTCGTTCTGGACGGGTTGATGAATAATTTGGGCTTTCATAACTTAATTACGGAGCAACAAAATCCAAATTAAATCTGAAATAGTTTATCCTCAAGCCCTTACAATTATAAGTAAAATATTTATGGAAGATTCCGCGAAGAATACTGAATTCGTCATATAGTACAAAATATCGAGAAATTAGGGATTTACAATCTACAGAATCAGATAAATATCTCACTTTGGCTCTCCCCATTTCCATTACTAGAGTAGTGAAACCAGAATGTCCATTGACAAATAAATGATCATCCACAGTAGAAGTATGTGGCACAAAATACACTCAAAATCAAACTGCTCGCTATGTAATATGAATACTGAACAGAACAAACATATTTTATTAAGTGCCCTATTTATAAAGGACCTAGAGGACCTTACCACAGTGATGTATTATCCTTTCCCAATTGTTTGATTGTACTAAAATCTGAAATATCTAAATTTCTGTACATTTTTATTTCATCAATTCTAAAATTACGGGCATTTATTGTAAATGAATAGTTCACGGTAAATTCTACGAGCACTCTAATCATGGAATGATTAGTACCTGATCATATCTGTAACGAGTCATGCCTCACTTGATACAAGTGGTCTTGTATGTATTTGTATGTTCTGTCGTATCAATTATTTTGTATCTAACGCTATTGTACTATTTTGTTATTGTGTTACTGTATTATTTGTATTTGTAATAGGAAAATCCTCTAAACTAATTAGTAATAAAATTGAATGAAATTAAGACGCGATACCCGCGTAGTATATTCATATTTCAGCAACATTAAAATTCAACCCTGAACACTAATTCTTTTGATACAACGTTACTTAGAATAAAATGTCTCTATTTTGGCTACTTTTAAAAAATTAAACAAAGTCATGTATTTTATGATTTGTATACTTCAATGAAGAAACAAAATATTAATTAGTATTTGATTTATTTGTCTAATAGTTGCGCAGTTTTCGGTTTAATGTTTAATGTTTTTAATAAAAGAGTATTCATATTAAGATTTTCAGTAACCTTTTCAAATCTCTCATTTTCAGAACGTAGTATATAAAATATTGTACGTAAAATGATCTCAATTATGATCTCAAACGAATAGAATGCAAAAAGGAAATGGTTTTCTAACTACATTACTCGTGCTATACTTGTTCTCTAATGCTTACTTGTACTCGGTGAAAAAAGGCTCCTCAGGAATTTTCTTGAAACAAGCACATAGAGTGCTGAAACGCTGTAATTGCCTTATTGCTATTCTGGCTTAACATGGATTCTTAGGATGTGATTTAGATTAATTTTCTCACTATATTGTCGATAGTTAAACCTGCTAATGGAATGAAATATTGTTTTAAAATAACTTCTATCGATACTTTTTCATGCAACTCACTGTTTTTGAGGATAGATGAATCAGGCAATTATGTGGTTTCTGTTAATGTGAATTTCAACAGCACAAAGTGTAGTACTATAAGAGCTGTTGGCTAAGGATTCCAGAGCTCAAAGACAGATTGCGTAGTTCGTCACTTATAGTTTTCGACTGCTTTTTGCGTTAAATAAATAAGTAGATTAACTTCTGGTATACAATTTCTGGAGATAAAATAAAAGTTGATGAATACGATTCAATAGAAGCATGATACTGAATCGGAAAATCTAAAGTAGTACAGCGTTACAAAATTTTACACGAAATGTTTTTATGTAGAAATGGGTTTGTGTTCACCTGAAACTCAATAAAAATAAATTTCAAATTCTCTTTGGTTTTATTAATGTTTATATATTTCATTATTCAAGAATAAAGGGAAACAGAATTGATATTTAATTTACCACAATCAACAAAAATAAATCAGGTACATCTCATACTTTATCTCGTAAATAAAGTCTTGCAATTATGCAAACGTTAGTTCAAATTGCTTGTTTGATGTGACAATATAATTTAGTTCACTTTAATTTCATTCATATATCACAGACACTATATCAATGCTAATTTCTTGACAGTAAGCAAATACTACATAAAAATGAATACATATTTGCAAATGAGCAAGGAAGATCATTGTTGTAGCAAGTGTTGTTAATAAAATTAATAGAAAGACTTCTCCAAAGTATTGCATGTGCCATGAAGAACTCCAAATGTACGAAACTTATTGCATTATCTTTCTCCATTGTATGAATGTAATTATATTCATCGTGCCCTAAACTGCAATGTAAGCTCTTTTCTAATTTGTACTGTTTTATTGTCAGTTTATTAGTTTTGATTGATTGTAAATGATATGCTTAATTATCAGAATAGTTTAGAGACAAAAAGTACAGTGGGTATTTCATCTAAATACAAATCATGTAAGTGTACCAAAGAAAGTTTTAGGCGTCTGCGTACATACGCATCCCTACAAGCTTTTACAAGTACACCAAATATTACGTTTTCAGATGTTATTTAGGTGTTCCAATGCATCAATTTAGAAAAAATAACTGTCGGAATAAAAACGTACAACTTTTCATTTACGTATGAATGATATTAGTGCGGACATTGTATAGTTTTTATTTTGCCATAGCGGATGTACGAGTTCTAACGTAATACATTACCCCACAACAAAGTTATCTGTTGACTCTGATAAATTATTTGAATCAATGACTTTCCTGAATTTTATGTATTTGTTTAATTTGCATCTTTAAACACATTTGTCTTCACTATATTTAGCAGCCTCAGAATGATAGTGTTAAATATCTGACTTCATCAAAAATTTACAGAAGAGCATTTTAATCTTTGGATGCGTCTAATAAAGATATGTAAAAATGCAAATGCAAAATCTTATTTTGTTTAGAATATGTTTTTTAAAGTCTTATTTAAAAAACTATTTAAAACGTTGTAAATATGACAATATAGTGATTAAACAGCTCAAATTATCATTTTCGCCAAAAATGACAGTTAGAACCTTGTCATTGTGAGGCCGCGACATACTACCTCTCCAGATTCAATGTACCATTGTTAAGACAGGTTTACTTATCTTTCATGATAAACAATTAATATTGTTTTCGGTTTTGCTTACGAACAGTTCAAAAGGAAACATACCCGCGTGTACACTTCAGGAGAGAAATACATTCAGGGGAAAAATTGCTCCCTTGGTTTAGAGTATACTATATTTGTTGATTTATATTCGTTACCAATATTCACATCCGATATTATTATGAAACAAACTAGATACATTATAAATACACCGTTTAATTGTTTGGTACTTTTGTAACGATTTAATATAATTAAATGAACAACTTATAATGACATTTACAACTGTGAAAACCACCAGAGAATGAGAGTAGACTTGTTTCAATATCCCTCTGCTAACAACTGAGACAATTATATAGGCCATGGAAGTATGAAAGCAGTATTCTGAAGTAATTGTATTCCGAAAAGTTCACGAACGCGCATAATAACAAATAGTAATAGTTGCTCCATTTACAGTCTGTACAATGTTGTCGCTCCATCGTAGCATTTTCCAGCATACACACATGACTTCCGCTACATCTGGCTTGTCACTTATGCACTGCTCTTCTGCAGCTAAAGCCAATGAGCGGCTCTCATCTTCACTTCATACGCTATTCTTCAGAACGCATATGACGACTTTCACAGTGGATGACAAGCACTCTTTGGAAATTCGAATGAGAAAAAGGGTTACTAGTAGTGCCTTTGCTAGACAGTGAGGCTTGGTCCGTTGTACCGTTTTGGCGCAAACATGCAGATCCGCTGGTGCAGCAACCACGTCTGGCGAAGCGCTATTTTAAACAGTTCGTTGGCCTCAGAAGCCCTCTTCTCCGCCCTCGATCGTCGCCACGAGGCGACCGTGTGAGCGATTTCATTCCATGGCCAAGTTACTGCAGTTAGCCCGTGGTGCTGCCCAACATTTTCAGTTGTTCACTGTGCTCGTGACTGTGGCCGTGATCGTGTTCGTGTCCCGCTGAAACAAAAGAAATATCGTTAGTGGCGAAGGAAAAATACAAACAGTAAACAGCATGATACAACATCGGTCGCCTTATTGCAACAAATTTTCTTTTCACAATCAATAAAATGAAATTCCTTGGCAGATTTATTATTTTTTTATTTTAGAATCATTGTTTAAAAAGTTAATAATTCTAATCCTAAGGATGCTTAATTCTAAAATGCCAAAACAATATTTCCATTGGTAAATATCTCTGGAAAACAATGTACGTCCAACAGAAATAAATGTATTAAAGTAGAACGGTCTTTGGTCCACTCCAGGAGCCGACTCGCTCTATTTGCAATTGGTAATCAAGTGGTAACTCGGTTAAGCTCAATGCGAGAAAAAGTGCGTGAAACTGTAAAAAATGGTAAAAAAAGTCGCCTAAATAATTAACTTGAAAGGAGTATCAAGAAGTTTGTTATATCTGACTTCATTCATTTTCACTTCAATCAAGATAATGTATATTTTCCTAAGAAAGTACTTGTTGTAAACGATATCTAATGAATAATTTCGCAAACTTTTATGAGTTAACAGAGTGCAAACAAAATAAAAGGCTATTAGAAAAAAACTCTGTAGGTATTTTGAGATATTGTACATTGTTGTTGGGCTGGAAAATTAGATCATTTTTATTGGAATTCGCAAGAAATTGGAAGAGAGTAGACTAATAAAATCACAACCCATAAGAAGATGTAGATGGAAAGAGTGAGCTAGAAATGTTATAGAAAAAGCTAGAAATAGATGATTATGTTTAAAACTGTAATTGAGCGAGCATGGAGATAGAAAAAACGTAATGATGAGATATTAATCCACAATTTTCTACATGACAACAGCACAAATAATATGAGGAAACAAAAAGAAGGTTGAAGATCAATGGATATTATTCAACGATTAAACCTGCTAATAATGTTTTCAGGATTATTAGTTGGACTTTCAAACTCTTTCATTTAAATTTTGTTTGAAACCAATCTTGACACACACAGATTGTATATATCATACCAATCAAGGTGGTTCAGGGCATCAACTACATAGCTAGGTCGAATTCAACTACTGTGTGGAGGAGAACTGGCAGCCGGTTGCTCTGGTTTTCTGTGGTTTCTCCGATCAACACCTGACCACTCAACAAACGGAGCCAGAACAGCGCGTATTTTTTTCTTCTGCCTTGTCTTATCCTCATCCCTCACTTCCACACTCTTACTCTCACATGATCCAACCACGCTTGTCGCGAGACCACACTGGAGCTTAGAGTTCGTCACGTGTGGGGCGGAGCCCCCAGCTGCTGGTGGGAGGTTCTTGGAAAATCCCCACAACCCGACGTAGGTCAGCGCCGGATCTCTCCATTCAGTGGAGGAAGATCACTGCCACCGCCCAAGAAAAACACATCCACCACACTTAGGGGACTAACGACTCTGGCCGTTGACGCGAGCGGAATCGCTAATATATTTAGACGTTTCGTTAACAATTTCCCATCGTTGAATGCAAATAAAAGGTTGTGAAAGAGCGGGGGGTTTAACATGCTAGAGTTTTTGCACGAGCATGCGGAGGTAGTGGGGGGAAACTTGTGCTACGACACAACACAAGGAAAAAACTTTTTAAATTAACTAAAGTAAAACTCCACGTAAAATAAGGCATTAATTCAATTCAATTCAATACAATAGCTTGAAATTAATGAACAAAAAAACAAAACTTGCTAACCTACAGTACTACGTGAATTAATTAAAAACAACCAAATTTAAAATTACAGAAAGAATAGCTCAAGCCACTCGAAAACTGTCCACGATCACAATCCAGACGCACGATACAAATATTGACGGTATCTGGAAGTTTATACATAAAGCCCAGCTGTAAATTCATATTGTAAATAATACATCGTTTGATAAATTCCTTTGTGGTATTTCCTTCTACCATTAAACACACATTGATATTAAATTTGAGGTGTTGGTTCGCTAAGATATTCAGTACGTAAACATCGTTTGAGCAACATTCCCGTGTAACGAAGAAAAGTTTAAGCTAACTGAATTGTTTCTAATGATAACAAATGTCATTTATTATTCGAAGGTGAAAATAGTTTTATTATTTTATGACTCGGAATCACTTTTCTTAAGGTACTTAAGACAGCCGAAAAAAATCTACTACTTTTTGGTGTACAAATAATTTTTGAATTTTCGCACCTCAGCAAGCTGGCACCCTAACCCCCCAAAACCCCTATAGTTCCTCATAACCAATTGAGGAAAGTTAAATTAAACCGCAAAGAGTAGGGTTACATTTGTCAGATACTGTATTTTTGCATGGAAAATGTTTCTCGGCTTTCCCAAGACTAAAACTTCTTTATTTATTTTTGTGCTTATCGAGGAGAGCAAAAAGCTAACTGTCAAGGAAAATTGAATAATAACTTCAAATTTGTTTTTAAGGAAGTGTTATATGTTCGAAGAACATCTCTATAATCCTGAATTTATCTTTATTGAAAATTAATTTGCAACATGAATTGCATTATTTTTATTTTTGTTTGATAATCCATAAGTACGAAACTACATTTATACATTTTTTAACAAATAAACACGTTCCATTAACAACTTTCCTACTTAATGGAAATGACAGGGAAGTGGATAGGGAAAGGTGAGGATTAACATGCGAGAGTTCTCGCACGGGGACGCTACTGCTATTTAATTAGATAGCTTGTTAGTTACTATTTTAGTCTTACTTTCTGTTCATTTCTCACTGGTCCCTTCTTTTTGTTCATGTATAATTATCTTTTCACTTTCAGGTCGCTTTTCTTTGCGCTCTTTATTTTTGTGTGTCTGTTCCTTTCTATATGCTTTCTTTTTTCTCTATCAACTTCGCCGAGTGTGTGAATGACTTCTCTCCTTTTTGTGCGGTGTCCTAGTGCTCTAGTCCACAGTCTCCCCAATCTTCTCGCCATGTCGTCTGACCTACGTGTTGTCTTTCTTCCTATATTTCTCTTGACAAATATGTTTTTAGCAAGTATTTATTTCCCACTAGCGTGTAGACTATTTTCTGTTTGTAAGCAGCGGTAATTGAACGGTGATAATTAGGAGAAGGTCAATGAGGGTCGGCTTGCGGTGCGGTCGTGGACCGGGAAATCTAGTTAGTGGCGAGGTTGCGGGCGAGCCGCCGCGTTTGTGGAACGGGGTGGGGACGGGGAGCGCAGCGTCCGGGTAACGAGCGCAAGCGCTTGTTGGGTGCGGGTGGGGGGTGGAATGGCAACGCGAGCGCGGAGAAAGGAGTTCGGCGAGGGCTCGAAGAGGAGGACTGACCACTCGTCGCGAACAGGGTGACGCCGCAGAGAACGGCCACCTGGGGTAGGGTGTCCTGGGACCCGCAGGGGGAGTGGAGGAGGGCGGGCGGGGGCTAGCCGAGTCGCAGGTGGCAGAGGCGCTTTGCCGTCGATAGAATGCGGACGTTTATTGCATTTTTATTATAGCAAGATGACACAAATTTATCGCCCAAAGGGATCGATTCAACTTTCAATGACTATCCCACACATTGATTATTGACCCACCCAACAGAATTTCAGAATTCATCATCATCATCATCATTATCATTATCATCATCACCGAATTGGAACTGTCCTTTGGAATTGGAATTGTCCTTCATCACGAAGGAGATCACCACTTTTGTCATTCAGCTCCTTCATACGTGATAGTTACGGCAGTTAAAAGCACGTTCTTTTCTTTCGTTTGATGTTCTTTTGTGAAGTGTGTTTGAATTCGCTGTGTACTAGTTTGTTACTAGTACAGAAAAAATGAAAAAAATATACTTTCATGAACCACAGCTGTGACACGAATGTTTGAATGTGAGTTGCCATATCGAGAAGAAATAAAAATTGCAGTGTTGGCCAATGCTTTCATTCTGATGCTATATTTACAAGAAACATCATTTAGGTATTTTAAATATGCATACATATTGTCCTAAATCACATCACTCTCAACCGTCACAAATTTTGTTGTTAATAATGTTCCAAGGAGTTAATTTTCCAACTTGTGTATTTAATAACTCTGTGTTCCAGTGAAAGAACTAAACAAATAGTTTGTTACTTATATAGTGGTGTTGATGATGAAAAGCCACCTGTACGATCTTAGAACAATGGTTCGTATGCAATAATGAATAAAATATAAATTAAATATACTATATTAAATTTAGTTAATCAGTTGATTTTACAGGAGAAAAGTTTTAGAAATGCCACGAATGTTTTGGAAATTCTCACTTGTACCTTCCTTGCTTGCATATATCTCTTGCAGAATTTCCGAAGTAAACGTGACATTAACTACGACAATCACGTTCATGAAAATGGAAATACAATAAAAAATCAAGCGTGTATCACAAATATGAATTAAAAATCGCAGCATTCGTTGTATTTAGACATAACTGTGCTTTCTGAACAAGACTCAGAAACACAAAGAGTACTTTATCACAATTCGTTTTCATATCTTTACCATGATTTTTGCTTATGCATATCGTCTCAGGCGATTTCCGTTTAGTGCGTGACAGAAAAAAAGCATTTTGTACCACCGATACAACCTGTGTGTATCCTTCTCGGCGATTCTTCAAGCGATGTGTCACTCTGATTTCCTGATTCCGTGCGAATCAGATCACAGAAAAGCGCTAGCAATTCTAACTGCAAAGTGTGAGGTTGCATATGTTGTGTAGCTGGACGTACAGAGTGGCATGCGATTTTGATGAAGTTCACTTCCCGAGGGAAACTGACGGTAAAATTAGCGTGACATATTTCCAAGTTTTCCTTCATATGTCATCTTTATACGACACGTTCCAAGAATTCGAATTCAGTTTCTGGAGATATTTTACTGTTGACACGATTTTTTAAAGCATTGCTGTCGAATATTTTTCATTCTTAAAGAGTATTTGAATGTATTCTGAATGTTTCTGTGTTCCTCTTATTTATGAAACATCACACTTTTTATTGAATGTCAACTTATGAGAACGTCAATACAAACTACTAA